GCAGCAGCAGCAGCAACCGTAGCAGCAGTAGCAGCAACCGTCGTCGTGGTTGTAGTAACAGTAGTAGCAGCAGTCGTAATCCTCGTCGTAGTCGTGGTCGTGGTCGTAGTCGCAGTCGCAGTCGCAGTCGCAGTCGTAGTCGTAATCGTCGTAGTAGTCCTTGTGGTCGTAGTCGTAGTCGTAGTCGTAGTCGTAGTCGTAGTCGAAGTCGTCGTCTTAGTAGTAGTAGTAGTAGTAGTAGTAGTAGTAGTAGCAGCAGCAGCAGGAGTAGTAGTAGTAGTAGTAGTAGTAGTAGTAGTCGTAGTAATAACAGTAGCAGTCGCAGTCGTCGTCGTCGTCGTCGTCGTCGTCGGTTATAGTCATAGTAGTCATAGTAGTCGTAGTCGTAGTTAGCGCTTTGGTGGTAGTTGTCGAATGTCTCATACTTCACGCTGCTGCGTGCTTGTCCGGGCACGGGCCTTTCCGAACCCTTACGCTTGAGCGCAAGGCGCCAAAACCAAAGCCCCAAGCATCAAGCCGTACACTCACGGCCAGGGCGACCCCTAAACCCTAAACCTTAAACCTGCTACGCCAGTTTGCACCGTACACCGATGCCGACCGTCGAGCCTGTTTTCCTCAACACTAGAACCGGTCCACTTTAGAGAGAGAGACCTTTCGCCCCTCGCCCACCAAAGCTGCTCGCACCTCGGCTTCTGCGAGCTTCTCCTCTCCTCGCCCCCGTTTCCGCAGCTCGCTTTCTCCTGTTTCGTGCTCACCGGGCTTACTGATCCCTCCAGATGCCGGGGCTCGTCAGCTCTCTCGATATGCAGCCTTCGTGCATGCCATCAACGGCAGCAGACCGGTGCCGAAACTTGGATGACGCACAAAACGAGCACATGCTCAGAGAACAGAAGAACCCTAAACCCGATCAGGTGAAAGAGACTTCAGGGAGTGCACCCCGAAGCCCGGACGCGAAACGAAGGCTTAATCCCCGAGTCTTTAAACCTCTAAGACTCTAAGAATTCCCTAAACCCTAAACCCTAAACCCTAAACCCTAAACCCTAAACTAAGAATCCCCTCAAGGTCGTGGCCGTGGACTTCAATCCGGACCTGCCTCTGAACGAGGCGAAGGTGGTGAAGCGGGGGACCCCAGCAGCTGAAACACAGCTTCAAGCTGTTGGAGGTTTGCGTTTGCTTTTTTGGTCTGGGCTTTTGGTGCCTGTCTGTTCCCTTAACTTCTGGGTTTAGGGCTTGGGGAAATTGTTGATGCTCTGGGTCGCCGCCTCGGCCCGGCAGATCCCGTGAGCAGGTCTTGGGATTAGGAGGAGGGGACAAGGCCCTACAGGAGGAGGGGAACCTCCCTCTGCTCTGCCTGGCGGAGGGCGAGTTACCCTAAAATTCGAGAGGTTTTGGATGTGGGTGGTCCCTTTTTGGGTCCTTATTATAATACGGCACCTATTATTTAGGGTACCCCAAAAGGGACCATCATTTTGACAACTCCCCATGTGAGGCTTCAGGGGCTTAGGGAACGTCTCTAAGCGTGCTCGCCTACCACAGGCCCCGAACTCTGGAAGCCCAACACTTCCCTGATTTCGGGTCTTGCGCTCTTGAAGGCTTATTAAAAGGGCTAGCTATCAGAGCTGCTTCATGGCATAGAGGGTTTAGGGTATCATGGTTCTTGCGACTCTTCCGGGTTTCTTGCGCCAAGACCCGTGCTTTTCCAGGGGATGTCTAGAGCTGTAGGGGTTTGATTAAAGAGTTTAAGGCTGATGGTTGAAGCTTGACAGTTGATCCGTTAGGTCTGAGGTAGCAACTACAGGGTGCAACTACAGGGTCCAAGGCTTTTTATGGTTTAACAATACAGAGGTTGGAAGAAGTGGTGGTATCCCATTATACTTCACTCATATTGAAAGAAAGTATATCCTCCAGGCTTCTCTCTCTCTCTCTATATATATGTATATATGTACAGCACATATATATATATATATACATACATACACATATATATATATAGAGATAGAGCACTCTTCCACATAGGGTTCTCTGAAACCATCAGGTTCTTCAACGCATCAAGATCCGGAATCCCTGAGTTGCTCAAGTGGTGGCAGAGCCGCAGCTAAGCCTCAAGTGCAGAGATAGCATAGAAGTTTGAATAATTACCAACGTGATTCCACATCCTTCCTGATCAGAATCATGCCATAGCCCTAAACCCTAAACCGCATGGAAACCCTACTGGAAAGAAACTAATTATGAAGGCACCTATAAAAACAGCCCTGGAGCGTTTATTGCAAGCCTCGTATAGGCCCGCTACTAAGACTTCTTTACGGGGAACCCTAATCTGATTTTAAGTCCCCGATAAGCCCCAAGCCGCAAGAGGTATTCTGCCACGGCGGAGTGGGATGGCAGCGTCTACACCGTAGGCGCTGCAGGGTTGTTGCTCAGAATTGACCCCCTGGTCAATTCAGACGGTTTAGGGTTCAGGAGGATTCTGCAATCAAGGCCCCAATGTAGGTGTTGATTTCTCTATCGCAGGGTATTGCACTCCCAGCATCCGACCCTTCTGCAAGTTGAAGGGGGTCAGTGAAGGGCTCGGCTCTGGTCTGAATCGGTTCCCTGGTTCGACCTGCGGACGTTTCAGTACACGCGTTTGAGGTGCAGAATCCCCAGCAGGCCCGAAGCCCTAAAGCCCGAACCCCGCATAGTCCCTATATAAGCACACTATAGCACACCCTAAACCCGACCTAAACCCTAAACCCTAAACCCTAAACCATAAACCCTAAACCCTAAACCCTAAACCCGACCGGTGACAAGAGAGCGGCTTGTAGAGCTTCTATGGATTGCACATCCATAGCAGTTTTGCCATGGCCCAGCTTGGTTGAGGGTTTAGGGTTTAGGGTTTAGGGTTGAGGGTTTAGGGTTTAGGGTTTTACTCCTACTAGGGTAACCTTGCCCAAAATCCTCTGTGGATTTGGTTTCCCTGGGTGGGCATTGGACGCCTGTTTTCTGTTTTCACGGAGTGGGCAAGGGCTGGCAGTGTCGTTGTGCTTAGACTGGGGAGGAGGCGAGCTGGGTGCGGTGTGCCAGCAGCTGTAAAGTAAAGCTCATCGCAAGTCCAACCTTTCGGTGCCAGCCCTAAACCCTAAACCCTAAACCTTAAAACCTGAAGCCCTAAACCCTAAACCTTAAACCCTAAACTGTAAGCCCTAAACCCTAATCCGTAAACCGTAAACCTTAAACCATAAACCCTAAACTGGAAGCCCTAAACCCTAATCCGTAAACCGTAAACCTTAAACCATAAACCCTAGACCCTTAAACCCTAAACGCTAAACCCTTAAAAACCCTTAAAAACCTTAAGCTCTAAACCCCTAAACCCCAAAAAACCCTAAAACCTAAACTCTAAACCCCTAAACCCCTAAAAGCCCTAAACCGTCAACCCTTAAACCCCTGAACTCGACAGGCTCCCTTCTCGCCTACGCGCTGATGGCCCATAGCTTCGGCTACTCCTTCGCCTATGCACTGGACAGGGTTTAGGGTTTAGGGTTTAGGGTTACCCGTTTAGTCGAGGGTTTAGGTTGTTGGGTTTTGGGTTTCAGGGTTTAAACAATTACCAATACTATTTTGTTATGACTACAGTATAATATGGGTTTAGTGGTGATTGAGGGTTTCGGGTTGAGGGTTCAGGGCGTATGGGTTCAGGGTTCAGGGTCAGGGGTTGAGGTTTCAAGGTAATTAAGTCTCATGAAAGCCAAGACAAGATGTGGTTAGGCTGCGTGCTTAGACCGAAATTCTCCTTAAACCCTAAACCCTGAACCTCAAAGCTTTCAATCACTCAGTCTTAAACAGCACCAACCCAAGTCGCAAGTCCTCACTCAGAGCGTCTGCTTCTGCTTCTTCTTACCACATACCACTACTGTGACGACGACAACGATGACGACTACTGCCATTGGGATTGTTGATAGTTGTCTTGTTCATATTCGCTGTTTGTGTTCTTCCGATCCTCGTGTTATGGCCACAGTATCTTGACTCCAACAGTACTGTTGCTGTTATTAGTTAATATAATGACGACCATGATTAACACCATCAATATGTTGACCAGGGTTAGCAGCATTGCTATTACTGCTGCTATAACAATTACAACGGTGATTTCTGTTACAATATGTTTCATTATTGTTTTAGCACGGCTTTTATTGCTATGGTTGCAATTGCAATTCTTCTTCTTCTTCCCATGAGTGTTGTGATGATTATTGTGATGTTTATTGTTGGTGTTGGTATTAGTACGAGAATTAGTTGTTGGTATTGGCATTAGTGTTAGTGTTAGTATTTGTAAATGTTATTACTTTGATTAGTATTAGTATTAGGAATTTCGTATTGTGATCATGAATACTAGTATCAGTAGGAATAAACAATACATATCATTAATATCATCATCTTCAAATGTTAGTATTACCATTTTTGACTACTAGTATTGTTTATTTTTAAGATTGTTGTTGTTACTATTGTTACTTGGGTTATTGTCATCATCAGAATTATTGTCACATCTTGATTGTTCTTGTTATTGTCATTCTCATATTCTTCTTAAACTTATCATCCCTAAACCCTAAACCCTAAACCCTAAACTCTAAACCCGTTCTCATTCCTATTCTGTTTGATAATGCCATGTTTCTGCGGAGCGGGGGCATCGATACGGGGGCTCTTGGGCTCCCGCGCCTTCAGGCTGTCGAGGCGTTGAAGGGGCTCCTCTTGAGCATCTCAACGCGCTTTCAAGAAGTTTACCCTAAACCCTAAACCGTAAACCCTAAACCCCAAACCCTAAACTATTAATTAGGGTTTACGGTAAGGTTTAGGCCGCGCTTCTGCACTTTGACCCGGTGCTCAGTGCTTGACCTGGCGGATGATGAAAACAGTGTTGGCGGTGAGGATGATGATGACGATGATGATGCTGGTGATGGTGATGATGACGACGGTGACGACGGGGATGATCCTGTTCCTGCAACTGTTGACGCTGATGATGATAATGATGATGATGATGATGAAGACAAGGGTGATCATGATGATGATAATGCATTGCAGCGGTGATTGCTGATGCTATCGTCGTGGTTGGCGCAGCTTTTTACCCGAGATCTCTATGGCCTCCACGCCACAAATCCAAAGGCTAAGCGATCCCTGGCAAGGAGATGGGCTCGCACGCCTTCTTCGTTCGCTCAGATTTGCTGCACGAGGAGGCGAGGTCAAGGGGTGAGGGTGGCGCCAAAGGCCTGTGATGTGGAACTAGAACACAGTGTGGTACATGAGGTTATGGTCAGGGCCGCAAGGAATGCGAGCTTGTCGAGGGTGGCGATGATGAGAATGATGTTGATGATCATGCTGATTGTGAAAGGTTAGTCATGATGACGAGGTGATCACAGTGGCAAAACTGACGATGAAGTGATAGTCGTGGCCGCCTTTCAAACAATATTCATGCTCGCGAAGGCGATGATGTGATGATGTCGAGATTGGTGTTGCTGCTTTTTACTTTATTATTATTTTTTGTTGTTGTTGCTGTCGCTGCTGCTGCTGCTGCTGGTCCTGGTGCTGGGGCTGGTACTCGTTCTGGTGGTGCTGCTGCTGCTGCTGCTGCCACCGCCGATGTTGTTGATGCTGATGACTGCGATGGACGGCGATAGTGCCAACAGTGACAAAAATTATGATGTGGATGATGTGATTATGGTGACACGAGTGTTGTCCATGATGCCTGCTTGACGACATGACGGCGGGCAAGCTGACGGTCTTCTACATCCTTTCGCTCCTGCTGTTCTTGTACATGTTGTTCTTCGGAGTTTAATCGTATCAGCAGCGGTGGGGCAAAACGCTGCAGGCTCCAACTCGCAACCTTAACTCAAGCTTCAAACCCTAAATCCATTTCCACAGCCATTCTTGAAGAACATGGTTCCGAATCATGCCCAAGTCTTCGCATCTTCAAACGGTGTAAAGGCTTCAAGAACATGTAATGTAGGGGCGGAATAATTAGGAGAAGTATACCCCTCACGGTTCTACAATATCGCAAGACCCTTTCTCTGATTCACTAGGGTACCAGTGCTAGCACTCTCTGCTTACCTCCATAGAGCACGGACAGTGGCTAATCTATGCAAGCCCCATCCATCTCAGCGCCACCTTGAAGCAGCGAGGGCACGACCCGGCGAAAAACTTCAGGGGGTCTTTCTGCTTAAAAGTGTTCTTATCGCCACGGTTTAGGGTTTAGGGTTTGGGGGTTAGACCGCCGTTGAGGGCTTTGGTTTACCGTGGAATTCTCAAAGCCTTGTTGGCACGCGATGCATGCCGCCAGTGCTTTCGAACCCTGGCTGTTCACGCTTACGCTCGAAACGGCCCTAAACCGACATCCCAAAGCCCGAACACAGAAACTCCTGTATTCCCCAAACCCCAAACCCTTGTAGTAACACTGATATATATATATATATATGTGTATATATATATATATATATATCTGTGTGTGTTTATATTGATATAGATACAGATATAGATATAGATGTAGATAGAACCCCTAAGTATGTCTCCCGGGGACGGTGAGGACCATTCTCTTCCGCTGCGGGAGGCTTAGCCTCTTTTACCGCTCAGGGTCTGCGGTTTAGGTTTTAGGTTTTAGGGATTCAGGTCGCAGGCTTTTAGGGTTTAGGGTTTAGGGTTTAGGGGTTCAGGGCTTGGGCTTCACAGTTTAGAGGTTTCTTTGTGGGTCATGTTGAGGGCTCAGGATTAGCTGTTTTTTAGTGCGGGGTTTCTGGCAAGCTCGGGGCCTGGCAGAGGAGGTTAGTTACAATTCGCCACAGCAAGCAATTGCAGTGTGACATGCAACTACTGGCATCGGAGATTGAGAAGGTAGCGGTTTCCCAATCAAGGCGCAATGTCAAGAAGAACTCGCATCCACCGGCTGCGGGCTTGGCACATCAGGGTCTTGGTGACCCTGAGGGCTGGCATTGCTTGGAAGCTGTTAGAGTGCCGCATATGTAACTCTCCTTCTTTTGGCTGTTGCCCTCAAGGGGCTGCGGCACAATGTTGAAACAGCAACCTCGATATGCGTAGAGCTTTTGTTCGACATCACCCTAAACCCTAAACCGTCGCCTCAGAACGCAAGTGTGCTTTACAGGGGTCGAAATCCAGGGATCGATTCAACCACATGTTTTTCTGAAGATGGGAACCGTGTCCTGCAGTTTTTGCGTGTTTTTTGTGTCCGACGTAAACCCTCCGCCCCTGTGTTTCGAGACGGTGACCCAACAATCTAGGAGGGGTTGACGCTGCGCAAATCGGTACGTTGGTTGCTGCAAGCTTGATGCAGGGATGTTTTTGCGTGATGCAGGGGGGGGGGGGGCATATGGACATTGCAGGTTCTTGTCGTCACCGCCTGAGGGCATCCGCAAATCTTTGACTTTGACATGGCCGGTTGCATTACCCCATCCTTAACCGCAGACCAAGGACACCGAGAACCGCCAGTTTGTAGACGTCCTGTACGACTTTGTCCCAGGTGCCCCCCTTGGTCTTGGCTTTTCAGAAGACAGAGTTTCAGTTCAGCCCCTAAGACCTAAACCCGAATTCCCAGGACCCTAAAGCCTATAAGCCCTAAAGC